TATATATATATATATAAATAAAAATACAATTATATAATATAGTATTGCATATTTTACAATATTTTTTATATTAAATATATATATATATATTTTTTTACATTTTTTAGAATCTTTCAGCTTTTGTTTAAATGGATCTGTCCACTCTGGATGTCACTGTCACTGTCACTTTTATTTAATCTAACAACTAACCATGTGTCTTCAATTGGATAGCCATTTTAATAGTTATAACAATGATGATGCTATAAAAGAAAAGTGCAGGTTTAAGGGCACATGTGGTGTAGTATTTCCCCTCTCGTATTTTACTGCAGGGACATAGAGCCTGTATGAAGTCACTCTGCTGCGGAGCCAGATGGCTGACCGGCTCCATAATGTACTACACACCTCGTTAGAGTGACAGTCTCCAGAAAGACTCTGTCCAGACCTCGCTTACAGGCACTGGAGCATTTAATGATGACTTCTAAAATTAAAACATGTTATTTCATTCAGATCACTGTAAATGCAGTTATTTAAAGGTCTGTGCTGTGCATTTTGATTAGGGTTAAAGATCATGCCGTGGAGCAATGAGCAACAGTAGGTTTTGGTGGCTATATAATTCTGTTCAGTAAATGTTTGTAACCTTTAAGAGGAAAGCTAACCTGTCTTTTATGTACCATTTGATTTGGTTGATACAATGCAAACCAAAATTGCATTAATAGCTTTAGATGAGCCACATAGATTTAGATGAGCCACATAGATGAGATGCATTGAGAGAAAGACAAAAAACAGAGGTTGCTAAGTCACTGTTTGGGTGTCCTGTTCACATGATGCGGACCACCATGTGAGCCACCTGTTCCAATATTTTCAAGTTTATTAACTAGGAGCCAGACTTAAATTCTCTTGCTAGCATTTAGCAAAATGCCTCAGTCATTTACTTTATTATTTATTTTTTCTTTTACATTTATGTATTATACTTAAATATTGTATATTTTATTATACTTATAATACTTTTATATTTGAACTTTATTTGACGTTTATTGTAACTTCTTCAGAGTATTCAAGCTCTGTCCATCTCATCACATACCTTAAGCCAGTTATTTTTGTATCTTTTCTATACAAGTGGACTTGTTATGAAATACTATTATGTTTTTGATAATATTTTTAATTCGATTTTTTATATTTTCTTTTTCACTTCAGTTTTAGTAATGTTGCTTTGGCAACCTTTTGGAACACAAATGTTATTTTGAAGAATGTTTCAGCTTCAAAACATTTGTAACACATTTGTAACACACAATACATCAGTAACATTTGAATTTTAGAAGTGAAAAAAAGTTTTTAAAAAATGCACTCTTTTACACATTTTTCAAAGCATCTTCATTTGAGTTCCACTGAAAATCATAAATGTTTTGTGTGAACTGTGAACTGCTAACTATAAAGGGATAGTTCACCCAAAAACGAATATAATATCATCATTTACTCACCCTTAAGTTGTTCCAAACCTGTATGAATTTCTTTCTTCTGTTGAATACAGAAATATATATTTTGAAGAATGTAGGTAATCAAACAGTTGCTGGAAGCCATTGAGTTTCATAGTATGGAAGAAAAATACCATGAAGTGCGTGGATACCAACAACTGTTTGGTTACCAAATATCTTCTATTGTGGTCAACAGATTGAAACTTTTAACTTCAGGCAAGGCTTTATTAAGCTAACATTTAAGTTTTGTTTATTTTGGCAAACTTTGACAAAAAATTACTTTACTTTTTTACTTACATATGAAGGTGTAGTGAAACAGTTTCCAAATGCATTTGGATCCAAGAATTACAACTTTGAGGCCACATAACCAAGTTCCTGTCTATAATGGTCACTCTGACCCACCCACCGGCAGGGTCCTATAAACAGAAGTATCCCTGCGCCTCGTAAAAGGCCATTAGCTCTGATGCAGACCAGCGCCAGACCCCTGTGAAGAACTCAAGAACCCAGTTCACTTTTTGGATTCCTTGACTATACATAAATTGCACTTCCTCCTGAGCACCAAGCCCTCCCCCTCTCAAGGGTTTAATAGCTATACTCAAAGAAACTGTTTTTATCCATGTCTAGACATGGCAGTTATCGATTGAGAGGCCAGTCTTATGACCAGATGTGAATTAATAATCCATGTCTTATGCTGTATGAGGATCACCAGAGATGACATGACTTAAACAGCAGATTCCTCACTTCTCATGTTTAAGAAACAGCAACAGCCAGACATATGGAAAAATACTCAACCCCTCTGACCTCAGATGTAAACAGATAGTTTGCCCTCTTCTCCATGCTTGAAATTATGTTGTAGAAGATAGAATACACTAATCCTTCAACCGTTTGCTATGTGGGGATCAATCCTGGAAAATTTCCCATATGCATTTTTGTTTGCGAAAAACCAAACCCACTCTGGAATTATTTGTAAGGAGACAAGACTGTGTTCATGTTTTCTGGTGTGCAACGAAACGGCTTTAACACTTTGGAATTGGCCGTTTGTCTTTTTTCCGCCATTCAGCGCTGTTTTAAGAAAATGCATGGTCTTTTTGTTATGGTAAACATCACCTTGTCAGACCTCCTGTCTCACAAAGAGAGACATGGACGAGAGGCAGAGTAAAAGGCGACCCAGAACAGAGGCCACTGGTGCTGAAGCCCGAACCTGGACAGACAGTGCTGAACACGGAGTTCCCTCTCTCAGAGAATGTCCTTTTTCTGCTCTGACAGGGAAAACTCAAAGCCATTCAACAACTGAATGAAAACAAAGAGTCTTCATGGAGTTTGAAAGCATTCATTTTCTAGTCAGGACACTCTGTTCTCACATCAGCTTTAGGAGGAAGATCTCCAAATGACCACACTAAAGATGTGTAGACTATCTATCTATCTATCTGTCTATCTGTCTATCTGTCTATCTGTCTGTCTGTCTGTCTGTCGTTCATTTTATTGTTCCATCAATCATTCAATCTTTCTTTCTTTCTTTCTTTCTTTTGTTTGTTTATTCATTTATTCATTAATTCTGTCGATGAGTCTCAGTAGCTGTGTTTTCATTAACCTTCAAATTGCACAAATTGAAAATATGCCCAATGGAAACATGTAAATTTAGCAAAAACTCCCATATATCGCAAAAAATAAATAAATAAATTACGCTCACATGAGGTGGTTTTTCAGGCAAATAAAAGGAATGTTTCGCAAAACTGCAATGGAAACAGATTTGTCGCGTTTACAGGTCACCTGGTGTACGTAAAAGTCACATGATCATTCTTTAATGTACTATAACCTCCGAGAAACACCTCATACGAGCGTGATTTTTGCTTACGTGTGCTTTCACTTGTTCCTATATTTTTGCATAAATTTAGAATACATTTTAGTACGAAAGATTTAGTGAATCATGATTTGATCGTGAAAGCATTCGTTTGCTGGTTTCACGCACAAATTTGTGTGTACGCATGCTTAGTGAATGAGACCCATTCTTTCTATTGTTTGTTCATCCATCCATCCAGACTGAATTTGTCCTCAGTTGATTAGATAAAGCTGTAAAGCAATTTTGCCTCTTCAGATAAAAACAAAAACCACTGCAGTTTAGAGCCAGATTTATGTTATATTAAACTGAGTGCAAATCAGATTCTACTAGAACAAAATGTCTCACAATAGGAGCCATTGCAATAAAGTGAATAGAATGACCCTGTACAAAAATGATCAATTCAACCGTCACTGTAAGGGAATTATCAGACGGCCTCTTTATATATGATGTATGCTATGTTTATTTGCCTCATTGATTTTTCGCTTCTGTTTTAGTTTTATCCTGCATCAATCACATCATAATGATCAATTTCATTTCCAACTTCATTGGTAATATCGATCCCGCAAAGCTAATTTAGCTAATGCAATTTGTATTGACCGGATATGCCCAGAAGAATAAGTGCACATTAATCACCTGTTCCTCTCCCTCTGTCCCATATAATCCTCAACTTTCCTTTTCTTTGCTTTCTTTTTCTTCTTCATTTTCCTCTTTTTTCTTTCCT